GCCGAAAAAAAAGAAGAGAATGAATGATCTAAAAGAATAAAAAGAAAGTAAGAAGTAGAAGAAGATGAAGAAAGAATAAAAGTAGAAAATAGAGAATATAAAAATAAAGAAGATAAAGAGTAACAAAATAGAATAGGTAATAAAAGAAGAAAAGAAGAAATAAAAAGTGTATTTTTATTGTAAAAATTAGAAATATGAAATAAAAGTGTCTAATTAAATAGTGTAAAATAAGTAATATTATTTTATTGATGAAAAATATTTTATTCGTTTTTATGTTTATTATTTATATGTATAACTTCATTATGATGTTTATTATATAATCAATCATAAGTGTTATGTTATTATAACATATAATAAGTGATAAAATATAAATGAAAATGATATGAATATATGATATAGAATATAAAACAAAAGAATAATAAGAATAAATGATAAATAAAAGGAGAAATAATAATAAATGATATAATAATAAAATCAAAATATAAAATATAAAATTAATATTAATATAAATCAAAAGAGAATAAATATAAAATGAAAATAGATATAAATGATAATAATATAAAAGATGAATAAAGTGAATAAACAAATACATCTAAATAGAAAAGAATAACAATAAGAAAATCTAAATAATATAAACATAAAAATAATAAAATACGAAGAATATAATAATATATAGATAATAAGAAGAATACAATGATATAAATAATATAAACATAGAAATAAATATATAAAAATACGATAGATAAATAACATATAAAGAAAAGAATAAAAATAATAAAAATAATTATGATTCATCAAATCATCTATTTCATTAATATTTCATACAAAATATAAATGATTATAAAATATAAACATAAATATTTATATATTCTGTATTTATCATATTTTTTATTTTTTTATTTTTATTTTAGGAGCAAAATATAATAAAGTGGAATATTCTATGGATGCAAATTTTTTTGCATCTTTTTTCTTTTTTGTAAATTATTTAGATGCATTTTTTCTTTGCTAATTTTCGTACCCTTTTTTTTCTATTATTTGCTTTTTTTTTTCGTTTCCTTATTTGTCAGTCACTTATTTTATCTTATTGTTAATTTAATGAAAAATATTTCTATTTAAATTTTATATAAAAAATATATATTCTAATAATTCAATCAATAACCATTTATCTTCTTCAATTTTCATTTATATAGTACATCCATCAAAACAAGAGTGATAATTATTAAATTTAATTATGATAAATTTAATTAATTCTTTGTTAACGTGTTTAAATATTGAACAATGATATTTTAAATTATTTTAAACATTTAAATAGTACATTAATTTATCATTTATGCATATCATTTGAATGGATGATAAACAGATTTAAAATAGAATCTATAATTTTGGATTATCAATGAATTTAATTTTCTTAATAGAATTGAATGTGAATTAAATTATTTCTTTAATATTCAAAGAAAGAACAATGATTGAATTACTATTCAATTTCCATTTTAACAAAAATAATATTTGTTTATATAACAAACAGATATAGTTTAATTGATACTCATAGTAATGATATTATAAAATAGTATTAAATTTATAAAGATGGTTGAATTTATTAAAATTAAATGAGTTTATATTGATATAGTTAAATATTACTATGTCAAATAATCATAATAGTAATTTAATGAAGTTAATATTATTTGTATATTTCATTTAAATATAGTTATCGTTATTATTATCATATTTATTGTTTAAATATTCATGATAATTATGATGTATAAAATAATAGAACTTTTCATGTTTTTCTCAAATTCAAAACTACACAAAATCAACAACTATAGAATAAAATCAGTGTTGTATATTTTTTTAATGAACTTTTTCTTTTTGTTTGTTTATTTCTTGATTTATATTCTTCTTATTAGATGTATTTATGAAAACCATAACGAATAACTTAAATTACATCGAATGTTTTGTGATTGTCTTACACGTCTTTTTCTAAAATATCTAATACTACAATACACCCATTCTATATATGTATTAACATAATTTATGTAGAATATAATCTTTATTTTCTTTCATTTTTCTTTCACTTTATTAAGAATTGATTCTAAACAAATACAAATACACTCTTCATTCATTTTTATCATACCATATTTGAATAGATAGAATTGATAGAATGAATTATTAATATAATTCGTTATCTATTTCTATCAGATTTATTCAAATTATTTTCAACACCATTGAAAGAGATATAACCAATGTTTGACATTTGCATCAAAGTGTTTTTCATTATTTGAGTATTATTGAATATCAATGATAAACAATATCAACTAAGAAACAAATGATATGAACAAATTTTTATTAAAACAATTCATTAACAAAACATAAATCAAACGATTTATTACTCAATTAAAAAACGAAGAAAAGAGCAATGGCAATGAATGCAACAATGGTAGCAATTGATCCATCATCATTAGGTTTATTCTGACATTCATCTTCACATTCATATTTAACGTATTTATCACCATTTGATTGTGGAACACACATTCCGCATTTATACATTTGAGCTCCAAATCCAAGTTCTTCAGTACAATTTTCATCTTTATAATAAAATACTCCAAAATATCCAACTTTATTTTCTGATTTCATATAAAATTCAGAAGCACCTAATTTATTACATTCCTTAGCTAAGTCATTACAATTATATTTAACCATATTACTTGTTATGTTAGTACATTGATCATCATAATATACTTGATTATTAATTAAACTACATTCATCACTCATTCTATCTGGTTCTTCATTATACAAATAAATAGGTTCAGTACTACTTGAACCAATGTCTGCTTTCTTAGTAATATCCATAAGTTGTTCATTTGGTTCATCACCAGAACAATCAGTAGTAGTATAGGAAATGATCTTGATTTGTGCTTGTGTGTTTTCATCTGTAGCTGGGACATAAGTTACTTTTTGGAGCTTGTTTCATGAAAATAACATTTTCCATCTTCATAAACAATAACATTTGAAAGTTTATTATCAATGTACTTACATTCATAAATATTTTCAGCAGCAGCAAAAGCAGTAAGTGCTAATAATGCAATGAACATTTTAATGTTTATATTTTCTAAGTTCAAACGTTTATATTTACCATCACCTAACTTCACTTTTTCTCATTTGGTTAAAATAAAGTACGAAGAAAAAAATCCTTTTAATAAAATGTATTATAATTCATTTGATTGGATAATAATTTATTAATACATTTACTTTTTTGACTCATTTGTAGTTTTTTTTTGTTAATTTCACTTCTATAAAGTTCTATACTCATTTTATTTTTTTGCATATTCCTTAGTTTTGAGTGCAAAGGAAAGAAACGAATTGAAATTTAATGAAATGAGGAATAAAAGAAGAATTAATAACATAAAAAATAAAGAATTTGTTATTAAAATAAAAAGTATTTCAAATGTAAAAAAGTCCGAAAGAAAAAAGAGTTATTTAAACTTGGAGAAAATAAACTTACAACAATACAATGATTGGTTTATTGATTGTCTTTGTAGTATTTGCTTCAGCTAAAGAATTTTATCAATGCACTTATGTTGGAACAGGAGAGAACAAAAACCTTACCTTATATTCAGTTTTTGAAGTTGATAAATGCTATAGAAGTTCTACAACTACTTATCAATCAATTTCACAATATAATGGAGCAATTACCTGCTGATGAAGGAAAATACTTCTATGGTACATTTACAGATAAAGAATGTAAAACTTCTTCTGATGTTAAACAATATACTGTTGAAGAATTAAAAGGAATTAATATCTATGAAACAAAACCAGAAGAAAGTAATCAATGTAAAGAAGTTGCTGCTAGTCAATTTGCTGATGATAAATGTGAAGATCCAATTCCAGGTACAAAACAATTTGTATGTAATGTAGCAAGTGATGTTAAAACATGTACTAGCAATGGTAATGACTATATACAAATAGAAGTTGTTCATGGATATCAAGGTACTTTCCATTATTCTGATAGTGAGTGTACAAAACCCACAGGATTTGTAGAAGATCAAAGAAAATGTGGAGTTTGTTCACCATCATCAATGCCATCTTCATCAGATGAAACAATTACTTACACAAAAGTCACATGTGAAAATGACTGCTAATTAAGTAAGTTTTTCTTGAAGATATTTTAATAAAGAAGGATATTCAATAAAATAACAAATAAATTTTAATAGAAATAAAAGTATTTCAATTGTAAAAAAAAGAATAAGTAACAAACAATAAGAATTACATTGGATTATTACTTTTTAATTATACAATGTAATTCTGTTCAATAAATATATTATAACATAACTAAATAATAAAAATATATTTTATTTAACACTACAAATAATTGTTTATTAATGAATATATCAACTGCTATTTTATTATCACTGTTACAACTATGAAATTAATCAATACGATTATAAACTATTCAAAATATTACTTTTTCTTTTTTCTCTTCATTTTTCTTTTTTTGAATATCCAACAAATATAAATAAAGAATTACTATTTAAAATAACACTGACAAACAATTATCAACAATTATCAACAATTTTCAACAATTTTCAACAGAGAGAATATGGAAATACTTGAAATTTAAATGACATTATGAGAAATACTACAAATTCAAATTAATTTTGTTCAAAATTAATAAAGAAGAATAATTAGAATAAACAATACTACATAAATAACAATAATAATGAAGGATGTTAAATATCATCTTCTTCTAAACGATATTCATTTTCATTTGAATATGAAGGATGTCAAATGCACTTTGTTGAAATTATTATTTCACACAAAAACGAATCATAGTAATTGAAATGAAATGATTCAATCTCGATTATTCTTCATTTCAAAAAAATAAAAAGAAACAAACTATAATTTACTTCGTGATTATACTTTCAGCACGATGAGAAGTGTCATATCAGTTTCTTTAATACAATCTACTTCTATCAGAAATCCCCATTCCAAATGCTTGAATTAAAAGGTTCTTCTTCTAATGTATTAACAAAATCTTATTCAATTTTTATGAAAAGTAAAATACAAAATTTAGGTAAAGAAACAATAACCAATAAAAAAGATAATTAGTTTAAAACAACGAAAATAAATTAATTATTTTAATAAGAATAGAAAGTCAAATGTCAAAAATTAGATTAATTAAGAAAAATGAGATTGTGTTATATGATTATTTCATATTAAAGGAATGATTTAATTAATAACTCTATTCCTTTGGAAATACTACATTTATCTTTGTTATAATGAAAGACTCTCAAATAATTATTTAGTAACACTTGTTCTTTTATTATAAACACATGATATTTTTGTTAATTCTAACAACAATTTTTTGAAAAAAAAGAATGTTTGTAAAAAGCAATCTTTTTTTTAAATTTAATGTAATTTTGAGTTTGAAGGAGCAAAATCGGATGAAATTGAACATAAATTCCAATATAAAGTAAAAGAGATGTAAAAAATAGGGAGTAAAGAAAAGAAAAGGAGTAGTTAATAAATAGCACAAGAAGAATATTTAATATAAAAAGATAAAGAAAGAAGATTATCTAATAGAATTAATCACATTGGCTTTACTTAATTCAAAAAAAAGAAGGAAAGAAGAATAAATTGGAAGTAAAAGTGAAGAAAAAATAAAAAACATAAAGGAATAGAAGTAATTTAAATGATAAAAAGAGAAAAAAAAAATAATAATAATAAAAGGAAAAACTCAGAAAGAAATTTAATAAAGTAACTTAACACCATGTTATGTTTCATTCTATTTATTAGTGTTGTTATGTCAAAGACATTAGTTGTTGAAGTACAAAAAAGTGTTGATGGAGATTCTGCAATGTTTATGTCATATGAATTTGATAAATGTTATTATACTGATGAATTTGAGTCACAAATGTTTACACATGATGGAGATCAAATTACAATTGATTATTATGCTGAGTCATCATCATGTTCAAGGAATAAAAAAAGTGAAACATTTAATTTAAATGATAAAAAGTTTAAAGAAGAAATTTGTGATGAAAGTGAAGAAGATGACTGTGCTGTTGAAATTAAAAAAGCACCAAAACATATTGGGTTTAAAGGAGAAGGAGATAATGATGATAATTGTTCTCATCGTGATGACACAATTAGACTTTATTATACTGACAAATGTTTTAAATGTTCTGATGATAAATATTGTAATTATGAAGTTGACAATGGATGGATGTATTTAAATAAATATCCAAATGATAAATGTAATAGTAAAGAAAGAACAAAACATGAACAAAAATGGGAATGTGATAAATGTAATGATGGTACAATGCAACAATGTGGAACAATTTCAACAATGATATTATTTGTTGTTTTTGCTATTTTTGCATTAATTCTTTAAGAAATTTAATTCTTATTTTTTATATTTTATTTCTTTTAAAATATCATCCTTTTATTGTTTTATAATTTACATTATTAATTTTCTTTTTTATTATCTCTTTATACAAATTAAATACATTCTCTCTATCTTTATATTTAATTTTTGTATTTCTTTCTTCTTTCTTTCTTTATTTCTTTGTTGTAAATTATATTATTTTATATTGTATAATGTCTTTCTAAATTAATTTGAATGTATTTTTCTTTTCTTAATATATTTAATTTTCTTTTAATTAGTATTAAACTTGTATTACATTATTACAACATTATTTAAACTACTTATTTTTTCAATCAGTAAATTCAATGATACTCATGTTATTTTTATTCATTGATGTTTATAATTTATTCTGTATGTAGTTATCTATCAATAATGAATGAAATAATTACGTTTCTCATTGTTTTTATAATTTGTAGAATTGTTGATAGAAAATAATATAAATGTAATTAATATATAAACATTATTTTTTATTTATTGTTTAATTTAAGAATGAATAGTTTTATATTTCATGTTTCTTGTATTTCTTTTTTTGCTATTACTTATTTGTTTATTTATTTTTGTTATCTTCTTTTATTCATTCAATACTTTTCAAATCATTTTATTACTTTTTCTATTACTTAATCATGTTTCAATTTATATTTCAATTCATTCAATTTATTATTCTCCTTTTTAATTATTTTCTCAATACAATATTCAATTTTTTATCTCAATATGCATTGTAATACTATTTGATTATTATTATACAAGTGTTTATGTCATTTTTATTATCTATTAAAATCTTATTATTATTAAAAGTCTCTATTTATTTAAATGTATATGTTAATATTTATAATATTCGTATTAGTTGTTGTTTGTTAATAGATATTTCATTAAAGCCATAGAAAAGAATTTAATTAATAAAACAGACTAAGAAGAAATGAAAGACATAAAAAGAAGAAAATGTACTTTTAATAGAATATGTGATGAATAATGAAAAAATACATAATTGTATAATACAAAGAATGGAAATATACCATGAGATGAAGATGTATTGTTAAGAAATAATATAATTGATGATATGGTAATGAAAATAATTAAAATAAAATTTAGAATAGATGAATGAATAATCAAATAATTAAAAATGAAATAAGAAAAGATATAAAGACAAAATACGATAATAATGAATTGACAGTACAAATGGAAGTTAATTATAAACAAATAAATGTCAAGACAATTATTAATAAAGTAAAAATAAGTTGTAATGTTCATAATACTTATATGAGTGATGATAAAAAGGAAAAAGAAATAAAAATGATTAATAAAGAAAGATATAAAAAGTTAAACAAAGTATAATGAATAAAAAAGTAGAAAGAACAAAGAACATGAAAAAATAGTTAACACAAATAATGATAAAAAACTAATAAAGTAGAGAAAAATATATTTCTTTGAAAATAAGAAATAATAAAAATGAAAATAACATGAGAAAATAACATAATAAGTGAAGAGAAATGAATAGAACAATGATGAATAAAAAATAAAATGAATGTAGGAATTAGAAAATTGAGAATATAAAAAGAAAGAAGATAAAGAGTAATAAAATAGAATAAATAATAAAAGATGAAAAGAAATATGAAATAAAAGTGTCTAATTAAATAGTGTAAAATGATTAATATTATTTTATTAATGAAAAATATTTTACTCTTTTTATGTTTATTATTTATGTGTATAATTTCATCATGATGTTTATTATATAATCAATCATATGTGTTATGTTATTATAATATAT